TCTCTCTCTCTCTCTCTCTCTCTCTCTCTCTCTCTCTCTCTCTCTCTCTCTCTCTGTCTTTCTCTCTCTCTTTTTCTTTATCTTTCTATCTCTTCTCTCTTATGATGAGCTCTGTTTAGCGCTCCCATCTTGTTCATCCTCTCGGTCTCTTTATAAATCTCCATAATTCATATCAACGTGTTTTTTCTTTCGCCTTCTTTATTCTGTCCCACTTTAGCGCCTTCTCTCCCCCTCTCTTTTTATTAAGATAGCTATTTTCTTATCGTTCATACACCATTCTTGGTCTTTGTGAGAGACAGAGTGAGAGCGAGAGTCCCTCTCTGTCTTATGAAAGCATTATTTCTATTATTTCTCATTTGTTCGTTATCTTACCGATATTTTATTGCAGTTAATTTGATTCCACTCAGTTCATATTCAATTCTCTCGATTTCCATTTCATTTAAGCAACAACTTATCCTATCTCAATTCCATTCCATTCCAGATAGCATAATCTCAGAAGCAGCAGAAGTTCACTAGTAATACCCAAATAGCTCAACTTAACAATCCAAATCACTTCCGTTTCATTCCATTCAACCATTGCCCACCGCCCATTCATAGCAGCTAGAGGGAACGCCATGGAAGTGACACACAACCGGACTAGAAACAAGAGAAGACGAAGAAGACAACATAGTAAAAGAGAGAGAGAGAGAGAGATAGAGCACTCGGTGGGCTCCATTTCCACTTCCATTTTGCAGTCGCACTTTGTGCGAAACTCTGGGTGAAATTTATGTAATTTATATGGGCACTTGACTGTCTAAATTGCCTGCGGAGAGCAGCACCAGCCACGCCTACCTACCTACCCACTCCCCAGCCCAGAAGAAGTTCTTGCTGCTGCTGCTGCTGCTGCTGCTGCTGCTGCCACTTTTTATATCATCTACTTAGCCCTAATGGCAAATAATTAATTTCGTGCTTCCGCGTTTCGTGTCGCCCACACGCCCACTGACCAGCGCTGGCCAGCAGTGGGCTGTAGGGCGGCAGGAGGAGCGCTGCTCTGGCCGCCCCTCAACGACCGTTTTCAATTTACAAATTGCTTATTTTTCGAAAACCAAATTGCGAGTGCCTTGGACTTGGAGCGCAGGCCAACCAACTGGCAGTTAATGCATTTTACGTGGCCAGTCAGACGAACGGACGAACGGACGGACGGACGGACGGACAGCGTAGCTAGTCGAGCAGACCCGCAAGCCAAAAAGCTGCTAGCTCCTGTTCGAGCAGGCAGCTCAATTACGGTTATAAATTTTGCCCAAGCCAAAATGGCGCAGCTCGAAATGAATAGCCTGCCTGACTGCCAGCCTGAACTGCCTGAACTGCCAGCCTGAACTGCCTCCCCCAACATCAGCTCGCAGCCGCCCCCAGCCCCTCCTCACACACTCTGCGCAAAATGTTATTAACTTCTTTTAGCCGAGTTGAGCCAAATTACATTGCGGTTGCCACTCAGCAGTCACTTTTATTGAGCTCCTCAGTTATCCTCGCTTATTTCGGCTGTCATTAGACGCTGCCCCGCCCACTTTTCCACGGCTTCAGCTGCGAGAGGGGGGGCAACTTTATTTATGGTGCGACATTTCAGCGAAATTTCGAGGCATGAAAACAAATTTATTGGCGCCATCAAATTGTTTTTGGGGCTACGCCTTTACGCGCTACTCCCAGCCCAGCTCCATCTCTCCATCTCTCTCTCTCTCTCTCTCACTCTCGACCCTTTTCCCATTCTCTGTGCTGTCATCGCAAACGTGGTCCAATTGCCTGGTCCACTTGGCCTTTTTATGGCCAACGCATAATTTTGTTGAGAGCTCTCTAACCATCACTCTTTGCCACCTCTCCTCCTCTCTGTCGCTCTCTCTGTCTGACTTTGGGCCACTTACACGCTGAGCCGCCATTTTCCGACTGAATGGCCAATGCATAAAACGCATAATAAAATAAATGACTAAACAGAATTACGATAAAGACCCCGAAATGTGAAAGAAGTCAAATGTTAAGCTTCGGCTAGAATTACGCTACAAATTTCGATGCATTT